TCTCTGATGCGTGAGATGCTGGCAGTTTAGTCCATGACCCGATGGTCCCAAAGGGGCCCAAGGCCTGTTTGCAATAAAAACCAACCCGGTGTAAAGATTTGTAGCCAATTTTCCCTTGCTGAAGGCTGGCAAGTATTTTTTCAGCTGAGGTCGAAGCCCTCAGGAGGCTCTGCTGGGTCCAGGTATTTAAGAACTCGTTCCACCAGACTGCAGACCTGCTCCCCATGGCTGGCTGAGGGGGCCTGGAAGCAACCTTCTCTGGGAAGGAGCCACTAATGCCAGGCTGGCTAACCACCCTGGGTGTGTGCTCTCTGCCCCACCTGCTAGGAGCAGGGGGGTCTTCTTGCAGAGCTACCTGGAAGTGGGGGGAGGGGATAAGCTGCTGACTTTTTTGGCTCTTACTAGCTTCCTTGGCTTCTGGCTGGGGAGGGAGGAAAGGGAGAGGGAGGGTCGGTATGGGAGGGGGTGGGGGTGGGTGACAGCTGGCTTCCTGGTCTCCATCTGATTTTCCTGCCACACTGTTGGCAGGCAGGGCAGAAATGCCAGTTGCAGAGATACCACTCAGCACATGCCCCTGGTCCTTGCTGTTTCAGTTCCAAGGAACACCTTGACAAAGCTCAACTGTGACGTTTTCTTAGGCGGTGGAGAAATACACCAGGCTCTGGTCCAAATCTCCACTCTCCCCTGTGGCCCCTGTGGTGCTGGCTCAGGCACCAATAACCCTATTTCCCATGTTCAGAGCCCCAGGCTACAGCTGATTAGGCTCTCAAGGGGGCAGCTGAGGGTTCAACTGAGTTCCCAGAAAAAGGTGTCCAGGGAGGATGATGCCAGCATCACTTGGCGTTGCCACTTCTCATTTAAGTGCCATCACTCCATGAAACTGTACGCAAGGAGCAGGGGGCTTTCTCTAGCTTCTTCTCCCCAGGCTGGAGTTCTCACTGGGTGACTTTGGCCACCATCCCAAAACGGACAATCTAATTACTGCTGTTGAGTCTTGGCTAAAGGCCCTTTGCTTCCTTTCGCGCCCCCGAGTCAGAGTCAGCTCCTGGTGAGGTCCTCCTCACTCTGGTAGACCCTGGAGTGATGAGCATGCCTAAGAGAGGCTGGAGAGGCTGAGCCTTGCAGCTATGGCCACCCTCACATCCTCCTCTGCCAACCACTAAGTCAGGAAGACGGCAGAGACCAGCAGGCTGGTCGGCACCAAGCGGTAGGAAGTGCCTTTAGTTTGAGAACCTTCCTCCTCCCCCATTCCATAAGTAATGCCTGGGACTTCCCACCTGAGCACCCGAAGAGGAGAAGGCGGGGGATGCAAAGGCAACCGACAAAGATGGGCCAGATGTTTCCTACTGTGGCTTTCACGTTTGTTTGCTTTTTTTAATCCTCACCAGAGGACATGTTTTCATTCTTCTAGAGAGAGAGGGGGAAAGGAAAGAAACATCGACGTGGGTTGCCTCCCATATGCGCCTGGACCAGGAATTGATGCCTGGGCTGGGGATCGAACCCACCACCTAGACATGTACCCTGACCGGGAATCAAACTCACAACCTTTCAGTTATTGGATGACACTCCAACCAACTGAGCCACACTGGAAAGAGTTTTGGCTTTCATGTTGTATAGCCACCAGGAAAGGAAGCTTCTCGGTGGACAGGGCCAGGGAGAGACAGGCTCCATTCAACTGCCTAGAGGCCATGTGTGGGGCCCCGTTTGAGAAGCTGCTATGTGTTATAGCTCTTCCTGAGATTGGGGCTCCTCAGGTTAGGGCCACTAGGTACAGTGGTGTGAGTCATTCATTGTACAAGTTCAGCTGAAGGTCAAGTAGTGGCTGAAATCCAGCCTGTGCTTTGCTGGGCTAGCTGTGCATCCGTGAGGCTGGGCCCATCAGAAGGAGTCCTGTTTTCTGTTTTTGATAAAGGTGAAGTTCAGGCTGTGCCATGCCACAACTTCCGGTTATGTTTGGTTCTGAACCTGGACCTTCTCTGATAAGCAGTGCTATATGCAGCCTTGGGGTCTCCAGTCTGCTAAACTACACAGTGCCTGGCACAGCGCATCCCCAGACATTCGCTTTGTATGTTCAAGTCCTGGATGACTCAGGAAACTTCTGTTGGATGGAGGAGCTCACACAACACTGCCTCTTCAGGGGGTTGCAAGGCCCCTTCTGCACCCGAATGAGCATGGCCCTAGCACTTCCATGAACTGCATTAAACAACTCTCAAGGGTCTCATGTAAAAGGGGGCATCTGTCACCTTCATCAGGTAATCCCTCCATTCGTGATACACCTGAGTCTTGGAAAGAACAATTTGCTTTCTCCAAATGTTCCTCCTTTACCAAGAAAATTAAGGACATTGGTGTGGAGAAATCTTGGATTTAGATTCAGTCTCAATAAGAAGTGAGCTGACTGAGCTAACCAACCACCCAAGTCAACATTTCTTGCCACCAGTTAGTCCTAAAGAGCAGCTGGTCTCCCATCCTTGATCCATGAGCTGCCCAGCTTTGCTCCTTCCTGTTTCCATTATTAGCCCCGTGACTAGATGGTCTTTTTACACATCTTTCCCAGCACCATGAGAATGCTACTGAACTAACCTTTCATTAAGTTTTATAGTTCACAGTATGTAGCAGATGAAATACTCATGTAGAACTTCTTTGATAGAAATCAAGCACTTTATGTATATTATATCTAGAAAATGGCTATCAAATTGCAAGGCCTATTGGTCAGTTAATTAATTCTGTTTGATTAGAACCCTGGGCTGTTGAGACCAGGTTCTTGGGATCCAGCCTCAAATACCCCAAGAGCTGCCATTCGCTATAGCCATGGGCTGCTGCCTTGAACTCAGCTGCCTCTTGTGGGGATGTGGTGTCATCCCAAGAGCGTAAAGGGCAAAATGGATCAGTGCAAATCCATCTCTGTTTCCACCACTGGAACTAAAACATCAGAATGTACCACCCACTAGAATCTTCATAAAAGAAGAGCAGGAAATTTAGGGTATTTTTCTGAAGCTTGGGCCTTTTATCATATAGACACTAAAAGTTTGGGGAGCTTACAAGACTCTTCTCCTTCAGCTGGCCCTGAAAACAGCTCTGTAAATTCTCCCAGTTGCACACTTCAGATGCTGGGAAGGTGTTTCGTGCTTTCTTGTTCCAAATGCTTTGTTAGCAGACCTTGGAGAAGCACTGAACCAGTGCCACTTCTGGGATGAAGGGACATCAGTAAATGCTCTTCACAGAGCTTCCTCGAGGTCATTCTTGCCTTTCCTGTCTCCTCATGAGAAGCAGCCCGGAGATGTTTGAATGTCTCATCTGAGTACCCGTCTTCCTCCCTCACGCCCTTGGGGGTTCTGCTTTCCCAGTTTGCACTGACAGTCCGAGCTGCCCCACAGCACACTCTGAGCTTGTCAATAAAATCCCTACACATCCTCCACTCACACACCCAGGCTTCAAAAGAGACAGAGAGGAGTGGATTCCGACCACTCTTCATCAGGCCATCGGGAGTTCAGGAACTTCCATAGGCCTTGCCTTTGACAACCTGCGGCATCTTCTTGGGGTGTGAAGCCACATGGCCATGGCACACTGGCCATGCAGACAGATAGCGGGCCAGCAGGCCATGTGTTCTGCCAAGTTCTGGCTTCTCATGAGGGAAGACCATAGAGACAGAAGATCTCAGAAGAGAAAAGATGAGCACCTGTGTTTTAATTGCCACTCACCAGGGCTACTATGATGTTTACATCTAGCAGATTCAAAATAATGTTTAAATTCAGTTAAAATGCATGTAGGTGTGGTAAGTAAACAACTAGGTTGCATTCAACCTGGAATTCTTAGATTTTATATTAAAATAAATAAGGATACTAATCACACAGTAGTTAGGTTTTACAAGGGCTTTCCTCTTCAGTGGGTGGTGGGCAGTGGGGCCAAGCGGTGGGGTGGGGTGGGGGGCAGGAAGGCGAGCTGGCATCAGGGGGTTTCTACCTTTGAGAAGAGAAGTGTGGCCAGTTCCATTTGTGGGCTCCCTGCTCCTGGCTGCCACACTGATTCCCTCCGGTTTAATATTCACAGTGCAGGCTGCGGCCCTGAACTCAGCAGCTTGTTTTTGACAAGCCAGTGAATGAGTGGGATTGAATACTTCCTGCGCACAAAGCCCGAGATGGCGTGGAAAGGGGAGACGGGCCGGTGCTGTTCTACAGGCCACAGCGCAGCATCTCTGCCGAGCACCACGGGGAAAACCTATTCCTATTCACTCGGCACTCTCCCCTGTCACCGTGGGGTCGCTTATGTGCCACTGTGCCGGTCTCTACTCCATCTAAACCGACTGTGCATGGGGTCAGGCCACTTCCCTACAGGGACAGTGAACCTGTGGCCTGTTGTGACTTCCTCAAGGCCTAGCTCCTGGGAGCACAGGAAAGGCACAGGGACTTGCTTCTCACTCCACCCAGGGCTACCTGTCCTCCTCTCCCTGTCACACTATGCAAATGAGGCTGACGAGGGCTGTGACTCATGCAGAGGCCACTAACACACTCCAGCTAGACCACATCGCCAAAACCCATGCAGCATGGCCGCCTCCTGCACACACAAAAGCCGCCTACGCAGCAGCATCAGCTTGCGGACCGCTCCCACGTGACTGCCAGAGTTCACAGAGGGAAATTTGGAATATATTTTTTTAGATGCACTATGGTTCTGAGCCAATTTATTTCATGAGACAGTTCGATGGCCTTCTCCCTGGGCCACTGCAGAAGATGCACAGACTGCGCAGCCCCCGGACTCAGACCTGAAGGTCAAATGTGAAGCTCGAGGCTAGGCAGCCGTGTGTGCACCTTCTGCAGAGGGAGCCGCCTGGTCTTTTGCAAATCCATCCCTAGAAGTGAAGCTGCAGACACTTGCAAAAGAAAAGGGATATGTCGAAGGGGGAAGCACTGGACTCCCTCCCACCCCGAAGGAAATTACAACAAAGGAGAACTGAGAAAACGAGAAAAACAAAAGAAATGTGGGGGAACAAAACCAGCTGAACTTACCACACTGCGAGTGAACTTTTCTAAGGAAGTTCTACGACCTTGCTCACTTTCTGGCTTTAGGAAAAACAAACAAACAAAAAAGAGGTAGGGAGAAAAATACAGAAAAAAAAAATCTTCAGCTTACACATGGTTTCCAAACAGCACAGTGGCAGCTAATGAACAAAGAAGCAAAACAGGGCGCAAAAAACGGGAAAAGAGAAGCAGCCAGCGCTGTATGCGAGGGTCAGTGGGAGAGACAGGAAAAAAGGAGCCCACAGGAAATAGTGCTTCCTCCTTGGAGCAGTGAGGAGAGGGGTGTGTGCTTCTGGGGGGTGGGGGCGCATTCATCGTCCTCAGGGCTCTGAGCAGGAGCCGCAGCAGCTCTGCACAGCCCGGTCAGCACTCCCAGCTGCCTGCTCACGGCTTCCTGTGGGCACTGCCCATGGGCAGGCGCCCCTGGTGTCTGTGCACGGGGAGCCCCTGAGACCACAGGCAGCCAGCTGGGGCCCCCAGTGGGGACACAGAGCAGATTAACTCTCGGGGCCTGCAGATGTGTGGGGGATGCTGACGGGAATTCAAGAAGTGGCTGAAGGTCACAACTCGCTCAGATTTTTCTACCCAGATGCTGCTAGAAAGTTGACTAATTTTGGTAACTCGCTACTGGCCCCCTGATGGCTCTCATTCTGCGTCCTTAGAGTAAGGAAAGTCTACCCACGTCCTTTTCAAAGGGTCTTGGTCCTCAGAAGGAATGTTCTGGAAAGAAAATGCTCTCTCAGTACCCAGGCAGGTGACCCCTTCCAAGGTTCACTCATGGCAGGCTGCAGGAGGTTCAGGGGCCTTCCTGGGAACTCTCAGCTGAGGGGCCCCCGGCAGGGGCAAGAGGAGACCAAGCCCTTGGACACTCGCTAGGGCCAGCTGCTCACTCCCACTACTGCCACAGGAGGAGAGGGTGGACCCTCTTCCCAAGTTTCCTTCTTCTTCAAGGACCTTGGGGAGAAACTTGCATCTCTAATACCTGCTCTTTCATCCTAGAGCGCTGTCCCAGGGCTCTGAACCTATGACTGGGAAATTTGGAGAGGATACACACTCACATGGATACACACACACACACACACACACACACACACACACACAGAGCAAATAATGGAAAATAGGGAGCTAAAGAAGCAGCCAGGTGTCTGTGGGTGGGCAGGATGTGCTGGGAGCAGAGGGGGCAGGCAAAGGGTGGCCATCTGTCCGTGGACAGATCAGAGGGGGCCCTTGGCAGTCATACCCCCTTCCCCTCAGCTGGCTGCCCGAAGACAGGACATTGCAGAAGGAAACACAACATAAACTGCCCAGCCCTGCAGAGCCAGGCTCATCTCTCTCATTGCACAAAGGACCAAAGGATCCACGCTGGACCCTGAGAACCACACCAAGTCTCCGCTCTGGGGATGGCAGAACTCAGCTTCAACACTGCAGGCAGCTCCAAGGGGCATGCGCCTGGCTCGAGGCTGGCTGGTGCCAGGCCCTGCAGCTAGCATTCTGTGCCTACCATCCTTGTGCTCCGGCTACTGAGCTGCGGCTCACAGAGGGGAGCCATCAGCACTGACTCAGTCAAGTTTCTCTGTCTTGCACAGCCCCTCTGAGCTGCTCTGGACAATCACTGTCACTGGTACTATACTGTCCTGGAGGAGCCGTCAAAACCAGCTCACCTGCCCCTTGGGAACGTGGCACATCAAAGTGACTAACCTCTTCACTGGAGATACTAGCATGGAAGGTGAGTCAGGGATGAGGATCAGAAGGCTGTGTCCCCAGACCCATCAGGGGCCTTGCTCAGCAGAAAAGCGAGGCCCATTCATATCCTCTCTGAGCAGGAGGCTGTGACTCTCACATACCTCTGATGACCTGGATATTCATATCACATGGTAAGCCCATCCCCGAAGTCAGAAGATGCTCTAGGCCTACCTGAAAGTGCTGAGTTATAAATGCAGTCCACACCTGGAGGTTCTCAGGGAGAAATGGGGGAAAAAGCAGGTTTTGCCACTGGTTTTGGAAACAACTGCTGGCATCTGCAAGAGCTTTCTGTCACAAGAACATCCCTTAATTTGGGGGCTGGGAGGATAATTCTAATGAATCTCATTTGTAACATTTCACACGGAGGCCATGAGTTCCTTCCTTGTTCAAGTGACCTCTGATGGCCCCACTGGAACCTCTGAGGATTTCTATCCTTTTATGGGAGGACCTGGGGGCACAGGGGTGTCAGCCCCACCCCCTGAGCAGGGCTGCCTTTCCTCTTGGTGCTCAAACCCACAGGGAGACCACATGGCCTCTGGCTTCTGGGTGTGTAGACAGGCCCAGGTCGGTCAGATGGCTAGAGCCTCCAAACTTCCCCAAATTAGGATCAGTCCAGGGTCTTGAGCCGTAAGAAATTAGAAACACTTACTTGGACGTTCTCCTGTGAGATTTGGCCTGGAGATACCAAAAGTCTCCCTAACCTTCCTTGAAAAAATGGGCATCAGAAACATTTGTGGGGGTATCAGCTCCCTCCATCAGAGCTTCTCCACTTCTATTCTCTTGCAAGAGAACTGGCAAGAGGCCAAGACTCACATTTTCCATCAAAGAAATGACACCTGATGAAAGGGGGTACAGACAGCCAAGAAAGCTGCGTTTCTGACCATCTGGGTACTCCAGAAGTCCTTTACTGCTTTTCAGACTACCAGGGGTGTCCTCAGGGCTCCCTAAGGGGAGGAGAGCAGGCTGGAAGTGCTCACTGAGACTCTGGAGTTATGTGGTACCAACTAGATGCGCAGACAGGGTCCTGGCACACGAGGCGGACAGTACACAGAGAGAGAAGGGCTGCATGGCTGACAGGCAGCCCGACAGAGAGCGTGTCGATGGATGGCCACATGCTCGGGGCCTGGTGATGGAAGGCTGAGCAGGGAGAAGAAAGGATGACGGTGCTTATGTTCCTTGAGTGGCATGGCATGGAAGTCATGGAATTTGGTGCGAGGAGAGACACACTTAACCACACGTGGGCCTCAGCTCAGAGCTGGAAAGTGCAGAGGGTGTGCAGGCATACTGGACTCATGGACCCTCTCTCCTGCCTGCCCTTTCCCAGCCCCCACACCCCTCCCAGCTGTTCCTTCCCTCCTCCCAGGGATCCGGCTGTCACCCCTGCTTTAGTCACCCCTCACCGCCTACGTGCTGAGGGTCCCTGGGCCCCCAAATCCAGGTGCCAGGGGCTAGTAGAGGAGCAGGAAGGAACTAGGGTTCGGTGACTTCTTCATTGAAAGAGAACACAAACACTGTGGGGCGGGTGAGGGAGAGGGAGTGGGTGTCAGGCACAGAACAATCTCAGGGAGCAAGGCCTATAAGGTTTTCTATCCGATGAGGGGGCTGCCCCAATCCTTGCATCACACTCATCTTTGAGCTGGTCAGGGAGAGACAATGTGTGGGGCGAGGGCTGGGCTTTGTAGTGAGGGGCTCGTTTCCTCAGGGACTCACTGGTGGCCCTGGTGGCCTGGTACTCCTGGCTGAGCCACCGGGGCCTTAGTGTGTGGTCACACTCCCCGCTGTGGGCGGAACGCGCAGATGGAGGGACTGAGCACACGGAGAGAGGATGCCACACCAGGGACCCTGGGGTGGTGACCACCCTAACTGTCCTCCGTTGGAGTGGGAGCAGATAGAGGAGGGAAAGGAGAAAAGAGAAAGTAAATAAAACCCAAGGGAGGATTTTCTCATGTCACACCAGCAGCAAGCAGCAGGCGAGGACCAACAGTGCTAAGAAAGGCAAGCCTGCCCTTCCCAAAGATACCTTCTTCTTGGCCAGCAGCAAGTCCTGGTACGCATTCGACCGGAGGAAGCGGGCGTAGCTGTCACTCTTCATCAGCTTGTAGATGTGCTCCTGGGGAGGGAGGGGGCAGAGGGCACAAGAAGGAACGGTCAGCTGAGGCTACAAGGGAAGTACCACCCAACCAGCCACTGTTTTAGGAAAGAAACAGATAGACCAAGGTATGCTTGTGTGCACCTAGGAAAACTTGCACCGTAGTTTTGTTTTGTTTTGTCCCACTCAGAAACACCAAGCAAAACATATCTCCTAGAATAAAAGATCTTTGAGGATCATGTCCTGGATGCCAAGTTAGGGTGCAGTATTACTTCATAACTAAACCACAGGCATGGCAACAAGAAGGGACCAACTCCTGATGCACCCAACCACTGGAGTGAATCTTAGGGAATTACGGTGAGTGAAAAGGCCCCAGAAGGCTATGTACTGCACGATTCCGTTGATGTAACATTCTTCAAATGACAAGTTGTAGAAACAGACAACAGGTTAGTGGTTGCCGGAGGTTAGGGATGGCAGAATAAGGAGAGGGGAGGGAGGTGTGGTTAAAAAGACAACGGGAAGGATTCTTGTGGTGGTGGAAGAGCTGATATATGGACACATCTTACACATGTGATCGAGTTGTACATAACCTAACACACATACATGATACACGAGGACAAGTAAAACCGGAAAATCTGGTAGAGTCCGTGGATGTGGCGATGTCAGTATCATGGCCATGACATTGCGCTATAGTCCTGCAGGTGTTACTGCTCGGGGAAACTGGGCAAATGGTCTATCTCTGCATTCTTTCTTTCAACTGCATGTGAATCGAGCAGCATCTCAGAATAAAAAGTTTAATAAAACAAAAACACCATGTGCAACGATACAATTGGGTCAGTTGTGTATGTCAAGGCCACCATCTCATCCTGGAAGGTTGCCCTGGGAACCAGAGCAGGGGGCACGTGGGCAGACGGGCCGGGCTTGAGGCTCCCATCCAGGAGGGCAGATGCTGTGGCACGCTGCCTTCCCTTCTCCCGGGCTCCTGGAGGTATTTGCATTCTGGCCTTGGCAACAAATTTCACCCTTGACTTCCAGCTAATCCCTATTGCCTCCTGGTCCTTTCTGAAAAGATCTGTCCTCATGAAGGGCAGAGAAAGCCTGGTTCATTAAAAGAGAGAGTCCGTCCACTGAAAAAATGGCTACTTATCAGCCGAAATGGAATACAGTTCAGCTGCACGGGGGAACCTGGCTGTTCCAAGAGAGGACCTGTGAGGAGGGAGGTGGGACGGTGAGGCAGAGGCTGGCCTGGTAAGTAAGGGTCTTCCCTGATGTCCACACATAGTTCATCCTCTGAAGTTAAATCACAGCCCCAGTCCCCGGGAGAACGGAGAGCTGGTCAGTGAGGAAACAGTGCTCAGCTGAGCGCTGGACTGGTAACGAAGGACCTCTTCCTTGGGGAGTCTTCCCAGGGGAGGTGGGGGAAGGCAGGTACATTTTAGAGATACCTGGCCACACTGCTGGCACATCCCAGGGAAGCTAGGGCATGACAAGGGCTCACCAAGACCCTGTCCCGCCCCACCGAAGAAGAAAGTGAAAGCAGAAAGCAAGAAACCCCTGCGCCACATGGGAATCCCTCTCCGCCCATCTTCAGCTGGACCCTAAGCAGGCCTGTTTTGGCATCAGCTTCATTCTTCCTCATACTTACAAAAGCAGGGTGCAACCCTACTAATGGGAATGAGCTCACTGCAAGGAGCCAAGCAAAATTAAATAGTGGCTTGGATCCGAGCCTACTTTGATAGTCCAGATGTGTTCTGATTTAATACATTTAGTGAGAACATGCCTCACCAAGTGTTTTTCTGCAAATTTCAGACAAAACTCCAGCCCACTCTCGTTTTAAGTTCCTCGAGGGAACAATATGTTTCTATCTCATCTATGCATAGCATCCAACCCGGGGTCAAATGTTAGTGGAACTCACGTTGTTTCTTGGTTTGCTGAAATGCTTGTTTGAATCTAAGGTTCAGCAAGTTTGCAGGCTCGATACTTGTTTCGGTTTACGACCGGATCGATTCCTGCTCTCTGTAGGCAAGGGGCGTGGGGGGCACACTCAGCCCCCAGGAAGTCCAAGGAGACCAACTCTCTTGGCCCATCCCTAATGGCCTCAGAGCCCAGACTGAGGGCCATCATGGTCTTTGTTTGCAGTTTTTCCTCTCTTTAAATGGTCCTAACGTTTAAATCTTAGGCAAAAATGTTAACCCAGAGTAAAAATGACTCACTGTCTCCTTATTCTCGCCTCAGGCATCACTTCTGTCTGGCCAACATAGCCAGGTGGCTCCTGAGTCATCTGGAGAGGACCGCCGGTCACGCCTGGACCTTCTCTACACCCCTGTCCGAGGCCACAGGCCCCTGCTTCTCGTTCTGACTTCTCACAGGAATCTGAATTCCCAGGTATGTCTCACAGAATACCCTGTGACCCCAGGAGCAGTAAGGAAGCCTCCCCTGGCCCAACCTTGCTGGCCTTGGCAAAGAATTCCACCCCCAATCCAGTTAATTCCTCCAGCCTCATCACGGGCAGGAAAAGCCTAGATCATTAAAAGAACGGATATATCAATTAAAAAAAGAGCAGGATAAAGCAGGTGCCTACACACTGAATCACAAAAATAGTCAGCAATTAGTTACTGAGCATCTAGTAGGTGCCAGGCACCTTGTCAGGCATTGATCACAACCTGAAAAGACAGATGAGGTCCCTGCTGCTGTAGAGCTTAGATTCTATTAGGCACAGCTGATGCATGAGGGTCATTGACTCCTGCCATCCAAGTTGTCTCAGACCCTAGCCACTATTTAATTGTGCTTGGCTCCTTGCAGTGGGCCCATTCCCATCATTAGGGTTGAACCTTGCTTGTGTAAATATGGGGCATATTCGAGCTAAAGGCTACAAAGAAGTACAAGTAGAAAGTGTTGTGAATGGTGTAAATGGACTGACCTACACTGCCAGAGGTGGGGAATTCTCGTCTATCCACCAGAAGGGTCCTCATCAAGGTAGGAAGATATTAGCAGATGGAAATGGAAACTGAGGGTGGGACAGTGCAGTCTTGCTGCTGCATAGTTTGGTCAACCAGAGCAAAAGGGACAATCCAGGGGCAGGGAGGAGGGAGCAGCAGAGTGGCGGTCTACTCCCTGGGAGGGGCGGTGATGGGGGCCAAAGGAGCAGTCTGGGCACCACTGCCGCCCTCCCCGGGTCACATGGCCAACTGCAAAGCCAGAACCAAGATGGCGACGGTGTGGGAAGAAAGTAGAGAGTGAGAGCATGACCTGTTGAAGGTGGATTGCATGCTCGGACCATACTCTGCCAGCCCTGTTGCTAGCCCTTGGCCATCACTAGGACAGTCTCCAATTACCCTATGAGGGAACAACCAACCAAAGCAACAGTAGCAGATGCAGGGCATGGTCCGAGAGAAACAGAATCCAGAAACCTCTGCAGATCTCCTGTGCCCCCTGCAGGGCGGTGACTCCAGGCCCCCCTGGTCTGGGCCTTCCTTTCCCACAGTCTACAGACCCAAGACTCCTCCACCCTCCTCTCCTCCCCCAAGCAAAGAAATGGAGCCTTTGATGTACCCAGTTATGGAACTCTGTTCCTTCCTCCTCGCCAGCTTTGTCTTGGAAACACAAAGACAGTAAACGGGCTGGGTGAATGGAGCGCTGAGGTTTTTCTGGGAATGAGAATTAAGATAGGACTCAGGGTCTTTGGCCAGTTCCCAAATGCAATGAGTTTATCACTGCCAGGGACAGCAAGTGTACAAAGCTCTTGGCAGTGACCTCTATTGATTTATGGGGGGTTCTGGTTTGTTTCCCCTGCTCTGCAGACAACCAGTCTTAAAGGGAAATGTATATCCAGAATCTGCAAAGAGCAAGAGAGCCACTGGTAAACCGGCTGGCCGCCTGCAAGAGAATTCCTGAGGAGCTAGAGGACAAGGAGTTTGCTCTTTGCTTCTTGTTAGTCTTGTTTCTTTTCTTGTCTTTCTTTCTTTTTTTCCTGGTTGTAACTTTCTCCTTCCCTCCTTCCCTCCTTCCCCCTTCCTCCCTCTTTCTCCCTTTCTCTTCCTGAAAAAGAGATGACTGAGTTGACTGTGAAAAGCAGCACTACCAGGGCCCACATCTGTGGTCCTGGCGCAGGGGGAGGCACCCACTCCAGGGTGCGGATGGTTCTCCACAGGTTGGGAAGTGGATGCTATAAGGCTCTAAGTCCTACTGACCTTCCTAACCACATTTCTCAGGGCGGAGTCTCTTCTGCCCCCTTGTTTCCCTCTGTGGGCCCAGCCCTGGGACAGGGAGATTGGGTTGTCTGGGCCGCTAAGGTGGAAGCAAACACAACTGGAATCGGTAGGGCCCACGACACTCGTGGGAGCCGGAGGGAGCGAGCGGTGCGAGCTGTCTCAGAACCACCCCCTGGCACAAGCTGATGTTTTGCTGGGACAGTACTCATTTGGAAATCTCCTTTATTTTTAGATAAAACACAATGACCCTCACAAGCCTTGGGAAGGTAATCAGACAAATGCCTGTGGCCTTGGGCCCCACGCTTGCTGGAGCAGCTGAACTGCTTAAAAACACCCTTATGTCTCCTCTTTGCTGCAGGTTCCTAAGGCACCTAGGATCTCATTCCCCAGGGGTGCAGACCTCTCAGCTGGAGCACTGCAAGGCTGCCAAGAGTCCTTCCTGTGATTTCAAGTGTCCTTTTCTCTTGTTTGCAGGTGTGTGTGCCTCATCTCTGCCCTCCATCCCCGAGCTTCATGGAACAACCTGTGGACTCTGGGAGCTTCCGGGTCCTGTGTAGTCCCGTGCAGGGAGATGAGGCTGTGGGGCAGATGGGGTGTTGCTGTGTAGGGTAGTGGAAGGGGAGCTGGGCTGGTGGCCCAAAGCTTGGATTCAGGTCCTGACTCCACCCTCTTCCAGCCCTATCACATAAATTCAACGAGGAAATACAAGTGCAAGCACAACGGAAACTATAACCATGTAAGGTAGTAACCATCACTGCCTTCATGGTGTGGCTGTCCTTGCCAGAGGTGGCATGGGGATGAGACCACAGT